TGTGTGTGTGTGTGTGTGTGTGTGTGTGTGTGTGTGTGTGTGTGTGTGTGTGTGTGTGTGTGTGTGTGTGTGTGTGTGTGTGTGTAAACACGCACGCACACACGCGCACTTGTATGCGCGTGTGTGCGTGTTGCGTGCGTGCGTGCGTGCGTACCTACGTGCGTGCGTGCATGTGGGTGAATATTGAATGTGGGAGGTAATACTAGCATCATGTAGTAGGAACAACATGATGGTGTAATCGTTTTGAGGGCAGAGTTACGGCGTGTCTTTACCGCGCGTATCAAGGTTACAGCGCGCACGCATCTACGTATAGCGTCACGGCGTGACGTCACTGCGAAGCGCGATCGATACAGGAATAAATATTGCCAGCCTGACGACCCGTTATACATTGTAATAATAATGTGTAAATGACATAATATAACGTGTTGTCACACGCACACACACGCACGCACGCACGCACGCACGCACGCACGCACGCACGCACGCACGCACGCACGCACGCACGCACACACACACACACACACACACACATGTATGTATCTGTGCGTATGTATATATAAATATATATATATATAATCAAGAGCTAATAATACCTAGGTAGGTATTATTAGCTCTTGATATAATATATAAATGTAAATATATATACGCGTTTTCGATGAGTAATTTCGCGCATGTTTACGGGCTCGCCTTTGATTGGCTGCGCGTAATGTATCACGTGGCATCTCCGTCTTTCTTGTCATCATTGGTGGCGTTTTCCACTCGCTGACAATTCCGCTGTGATGTCTTTCATAACATTTTTGTAACAATCTGCCAAGCATATTTTATGGTCTATTTCATATTGCTGATTATCATGCGCTTGGCATATCCCTGTCTTCGTTCATCATCTCTCCACCAACCTTTCTTCGCCCCTTCCTTCTCCTACCCCTCCCTTCAATTAGTCTCTCACCTCATCCAACCCTCCCTTCACCCACTAGATGATCAGGGAGGCTGGTAGGCTGGTGGTGATGCTAGCAGCAGGTAGACTGACAGTGATGCTGGCAGCAGGTAGGCTGGTGGTGATGCTGGCAGCAGGTAGGCTGACAGTGATGCTGGCAGCAGGTAGGCTGGTGGTGATGCTGGCAGCAGGTAGGCTGGTGGTGATGCTAGCAGCAGGTAGACTGACAGTGATGCTGGCAGCAGGTAGGCTGGTGTGATGCTGGCAGCAGGTAGGCTGACAGTGATGCTGGCAGCAGGTAGGCTGACAGTGATGCTGGCAGCAGGTAGGCTGGTGGTGATGCTGGCAGCAGGTAGACTGGTGGTGATGCTGGCAGCAGGTAGGCTGGTGGTGATGCTGGCAGCAGGTAGGCTGGTGATGCTGGCAGCAGGTAGGCTGACAGTGATGCTGGCAGCAGGTAGGCTGGTGGTGATGCTGGCAGCAGGTAGGCTGGTGGTGATGCTGGCAGCAGGTAGGCTGGTGGTGATGCTGGCAGCAGGTAGGCTGACAGTGATGCTGGCAGCAGGTAGGCTGACAGTGATGCTGGCAGCAGGTAGGCTTGACAGTGATGCTGGCANTGATGCTGGCACCAGCCTACCTGCACAGTGATGCTGGCGGCAGGGAGGCTGGAATCTGGGTAAACACGCTAGACGAGACATTGATTGGCCGGCGTGCAGCGTCGCGGCACGGCAGCGATAAGAACACCTGGCGACAGCAGCGGCGGCGCTAGACGACCGCCAGTCACGGCATGTAGGTATGCAGGTGTGCGTGCGTGCGTGCGTGCGTGCGTGTGTGTCTACGTACACGGCATGATCAATGTCGTCTGGTGGCAGAGATGAAATGTTTATCGGCTGATCCGGTCCCGCCTACCAACACACGTGAGTGTATAGAGGCGCGACTGCGTATGCGTTATGAATGCTGCTAGATTATGCGCACGTAGCTACGCACGCACGCACACGTACGCACACGCACGCACGCATGAACGAACGCTTACACGAAGCGCACGCCCGCAGCACCCGCGCACGCACAGCACGCACGCGCGCCCGCAGGCACGGCGCGCACGCACGCACGCGCGCCACGCACGCCACGCGCGCCAAGCACGCCACGGCACGCACGCCACGCACGCACGCACGCACGCACGCACCGCACGCACGCCCACACGCCAGGCTACATCATCTACACTCCATGTATCAGCAGCCTCGCGCTGTCGCCGATGTACGCGCTCGTTGAGTCAGCGCACACTATCTTCTCTAACGCACTCCCTTCATCAAAGTAATGTACCACACACGCACGCACGCACGCACGCACCACGCACTCCACGCACGCACGCACACACACACAAGACACACACACGCAATATACACACATGACACGCTACATGCAACGTACTCAGATTGCATGCACACACGCACGCACGCAGCACGCACGCACGCACGCACGCACGCACGCACGCACGCACACGCCCAGGCTACATCATCTACACTCATTATCAGCCAGCCTCGCGCTGTGCCGATGTACGCTCCGTTGAGTCAGCGCACACGTATCTTCTCTAACGCACTCCCTCATCAAAGTAATTACCACACACGCACGCACGCACGCACGCACGCACGCACGCACGCACGCACGCACACACACACAGACACACACACGCATATACACACATACACGCATACATGCACGTACTCAGGCACGCATGCACA